CTCTTCTTACCGTTAATCTCGTGGATAAAAATTATCTGATGCTCATTTATTGCAGATACCTGACCAATGCAAGGTGAAGACGAAATCATTCTGTGGTGATCCCCATTGCTCTGGGGACCTAATGCATCATGGGCACATGCAGTGTTTGAAGCCATGGGATACGAAGAGGGCGAATCCCAAATAGACCTGATAAAATAGATGTGACTCTCCTGACCACCTCGAAATCGGGCAATCAAGTCAGTTTATATGGTGATTTAAAAGGAAAAACTTATTGAGGGATAGTTTTCTTCTCTATTACTTTATACACTAAAGCTTAAAACTTGTAGAATTTTTCTCATAATATAACGTAACGGTAGATTGGTAGACACAAACGTAAATGATGGAACGATTAAAACCAATATCAGATAATTCTTTATATGGATAACGGGAGCCCATAACAGTAGCCTTAGTCTTCAACAAACAATTTGTGTGAGAATGAAAAGCCTACGAGGAACTTTTCTAGGCAATATATAAAATGAATCAACCATAACTAACTACAGGGAACCGAATTTATGCATTCTCTATTTTTTTCACTATCCTTTCAAGCAAAATGAGTTGGACGATTTTCTGCAGCTAGCAAAAGGGCTTTCCCATAGCCAGAGTAGATCGAAATGCAGTAATCAAATTGTATCTTTTCTCCTGATCGAATTTTATCAGCCGAGTGCTTGAAGCGAATCAAACACAACAGTTTAAGAATGACTGCAGATCTCAGTTCGAGACTCGGCAGGGGCACAGACGTAGTAAATAATATTGAGGAATCCCCCACTCGTTAGTTACCGTCGTAGACAAAGATTTCATCGCATCTAAAAATTGCAATTCCATGAGCGGAATCAACAAATACCCAAGGAGTGACACATAAACACACTCAAAATCACAAAATGCAACTCTCGGGTCTGCACATTCGAGTATACTATACAAAACAAATATTCTTTACCACTGTAGAAATCATATGTATGATTAATTCACTGTCATTTTGAGCAATTGGTGTTCCTAATATTGTTCTTTAATGGCAAAACAAGGACAACAGTGGTCAGTCTGTTCCTCTCGTAATCTTTTTCAGTTCATCCGAGGTACACGTTTACTCTAGTGCTGATATGATGCGATTCTGTTATGTACACACACGACTAAGATTTTTTCCACTTCGTAAAAGAAATCACTCACCCACAAATCCCGGTACTTTCGGACAGACCTCACGAATTTCACCGTACTTCGAGGCTTCTTTGGCCGCTTTCGCTGACCAGGAACCAGTGATCAAATAGTCCGCCCTTTTACGGTCACGATTCCCGAGCAGATTCATGGGTATGGCATCGAACTGCCCGGTTGCTCCACCCTGAGTATGTGTATGGAGTGCATACAGAGAAGAGAGACAGAGCGTGACAAACAGTTTGTTTCCTAGTGAATAAAATGAAATTTGTCCAGTACTCTGGACGGAGCAATCTTCCGATTTCATCTCTCAGTTTATCCACGAAAGGAATCGATCGATCTGGAGTATCAAGCTTGGATTAACCCATTCGATTGTTCAGAGGCACCGGACACTCTTGATGGTCTTCTGTGTGGGTTTCACTCCTTGAGAGATCGTTAGTTCCCCACTGTTTGTATGCATTTAAATGCGATGGAAATGTCTGTGATAACCAACAAAGAGCACTGGACAGCTTGACACTCAAAATTGATTGAGCCATTCGCACAAGATGATAACCGTCGACCGTGTAGCTCAGGGGTAAGGGTTTGAATTCCCGACCTGACTGATCGCGGCTCGAGTCCTGACAGGGACACAAAACGTACGCACTGCTGACGAGTCCCAAACAGGATGAAACAGCTGCCCAGTGCTCTTTGTTGGTTATCACAAACATTTCCATCGTACTGAATCGACCGATCCTTCGTTTATCAATAAACCTCGAAGTTCGAACTGTTTTACGTTGTATTAAAAGTGTTGCGTGTGTTGTTAAGTTCGACAGCATGGCGACCTGAAGTTCGAACCAGGCCACCGTCGACCGTCTTGCTCATTTACGTATTTTCCTAGTCTGATTTCGCATGTCTGCGGGCCCTTTTCCTGCAAGTTGATAGTACATTTGTATACATAATAAGCATAGAAGAATGAAAGCGTATTTATTTATTGACAGAGTATTGAAAATCTGTTTCTTGTGGCTAGGGTGAACTGATTTTCAAATCATCTGTTCGCTGAGCTTGGCAAATTGTTTGCAAACGTTTCATCACCAACCGAGGTGACATCGTCAGTGTCTGTGATCTTTATCTGTTCTTTTATATACGTGTTCTTCTCCGCCGACCATTTTTATCGAACCCAATGAGAATAGGGGACAAAAATAGTCGGTAGAGAACGAACGGGTACCAGCAGAACACTATCACTTCACACGCAATGGCGACGTCACCTCGGCTGGTGATGAAAAGTTTGCAAACATATTGCCAAGCTCGGTGAACAGGCGAAGTGGAACATTTATTTAATGTTTATAACCAACCAACTGGCCCAACCAATCAACCGACTAACCAATGATCAATCAATTAGTCAATCAATTAATCATTATCATCGAATAATCATGCAGAAAATGGCTTTCGGCAACCAAACTCACTTGAAGAAAAAGGATATGATAGTTGTCCGGGACCTTGTATAAACGACGTAGACGATCGGAACAACGATCGATGAGGCCAATAAACTCCTGTGACCGGTGTCCCATTTCCAGAATACTGATTCCTGAGTTTTCATATTGGATCACGCCATCGACTATCCGTTGTTTGACCTGGATTTTGTACAAAGTAATTGATATTTATTTAAAAAATTTCGGATAACGAAATACTTCATCGCATTTTTTCAAGCTTGACTGATTAGCCAAGAGGTTTCATCTATACGCTTAAGTTAAGAAAGCGGTGGACACGGATTCTGAGCTCACATAAAAGTTGTGTTGTTTATTTCCCAAAATAGCTTAATCCGGGGTTAACCAGCAATACCGAGTCCTGGTTTTTTGGAGTACCGCTTCAAATAATAGGTAGCCTATTCTTGATACTAGATAGCGACGAATGGAGTCAATGATAGGCAGTGCGTGACCTTCAATCGAATGCTTCTCACCGGTTTATTTTTCATACAGATTCGGGTAGATTTCATGCATGAAATCGGTCATCTTGGACAGATTTCTCCGTATGACTCACAAACATCCGAGGGTGTATGATTGTCCTGTGTGAATACGATTGCACGGATGTCCATGTGATGCATTATTAGGCATTGTCTTGAATGGATTGGATCAGCTGAATTCGATTGAAAGCTAAGTCCGGGCCCCGGTGTAATTCATTCATACACTAGCGTTTCGAAATCATTAGACTAATACTATACCATTAATCTAGGCTAGATAGCCCCCCCCCTCACACACACACATGGGATGAGGGAAAGATAGTAAATACCTTCACTAAAATATTTCGAATCACGCACATCCGGGAAACGGTGTTGTATGACCTTGTTAACCAATGTCCACGATAAACGACTATACAAAAATACCAGCCGAAGAGAATGCAAGTTTCACGTGAAAAAGGCACAGACGCTTTACAAACATTAATAGTTTTCCATGAACGATGCAGAAGTCATCAATGAGTAAACAAATCACTAATCAATGCACAGCTCTCGATCCTTGATGGAAATAACTTTCGATGAATATAGTGAGATGCCAAATCTAGTCCGTTGTGCGCGCTTTAGAAACCTATGTGCATCTATTTTTAAATGGGCTAAATCAATCTAAACTTGTAAATGTGTCTGGACAATTGAACCTGGTAAATTATGAGCAGATGAACATACGTTGTGATCGGTCAAACTGCACGGTGACCGATCACAAAATATGGGGTGAATCACAACAATACACAAACAAAAAATTTTGCAAAACCGATCAGATAACGAAATTGGAGAATTAATGTGGACTTTATGTTGTATATTGTATTATATTCACTCTTTAGCGAGTTATATACCAGCTTTTAGCCGAAAAACAGACCACCGTTACAATTCTGGTGGAAGGAAGTGAAAAGGGAGAGGTAAAATATGAGTTAATTACCAAGGGCATTAGAAAGCTCAGAACAAATACTTTCCTTGTCAGTCAGCATTCGAGCAAGATAGGGTACCAAAGAGTATGCAGACATGCAAGACAGGATAAGTTTGTACATAGAACGGGTGCAGGGCTGGGATTTGCATGCACACAAGTCAGTGTGTAGAGGATGGGTGCAATCAGATAGGATATTGTCAGCAAACTTCGAGCACGCATCAATATGGGAATTACACATATTACCAATTACAACAGATGGGGGAACTTGGGAAACACGGCTGATCATTGAGAGGCCACGCCTCAGCAACTTGAAATCAGCCTCCAGAAAACCAGGAAAAATTACAGGAGAGCAATAAAGGGGTATAGGGAGGACACATTGTTGAACGAAAATGTTTATCACCGACGAATCAGAACAGAATTGACGCAGTCTTCTTATCTGAAATGGGAGAACTTTCAACTTGCGAACGACAGTTTGGGTATGTAAGGACCAGCGTAGATTACGGTTGTGTCACCCAATAACGCTCTGTATGGACAAACGTAGAATCAAAGTATCATGAATCAATAAACAAACGAAAAGGATGATCTCTTTTGATGTTGCTGCCGCAATGAGTTTGAGAGAGATAGAGCACAGATTCGACTAAATATCCGTTCACTTCACTTCAGCTCAGTTCACTTCGTGCAACCTTCTACCATGCACTTTCATTCCCCGTGTCTTAATGGTCGTCTTTTGGCTGCCCGTTCGGATGAAGGGTTAGCAGAGCGATAGGCAAGTTGAAAGTGGAGGATTCCAGTTGACTAATGTTGCGAAGAAATTGAAGAAGTGCACCAGCAGACCGGATTTTACGTCTCCCTATATCCATTGAAAGTTACTCCCAATAGGAATAAAAGGCTGCGCGTTGAATGATGAAACTGCCTGATTTATAGAATTCTCCAAGAAAGGCCGCTATGAGATATATTTTAAAAAAAACATCATATTGATGAAATATTTGGCCATTCCATTAGGGTACGTACAATAAGAATGAACCACTGATCTGATCCACGTTAACAGTTCCTGCTGAGTCAGCAATACCCAACCGGAGTTACTTCAAGAACGAACTGCATGCGTACAAACCACTCCGGTTTTGGCCAGCTACAGTCATCCGTGCAGATGGAACCACAAATTAGGTCCGTTTTTTCTCAAAGTGATGCAGGCATTCATATTCTAAATAAATTACGCAGAAGTGGTGTCCCTTGAATATAACCAACCTAGTATTTGTGATAAACGGCCTAGCTGTAAACTTTCGGACTAAGTCTCTATTTCACAGATCGGTTACGGGACGCGCACTCTGCAAGACCTTTCTACGTTACGGACAATTTATACGCCCTGAACAAGGTTGCCATCTGATCGGGCAGTAACAATCTCCAATGATCATACAAGTTGCACACTTTCACCACAATTATTCATTTTTTTATTTTTTAGAACTCGACTCATAACATCCAACAGGTAACAAGAATCAAATATGTACGAATTCACAGCTATTTTCTTAGAATTTTGAGTGAATTTTAAACAATTAATCAATCCTCTAGAATATCGGTATTTTTTCAAAAATGTGATAGAAGACAATCGTTTATCCACGCCATTTAACTAGTCTGGTCAAAAAATGAAGCAACTTTATGGAGTTAGCGACGAAAAGCACACTTGAATAGAGAAGTCAGAAACACCGGTTTACACAATATATCCATGGTCACTTCACTGCATACGTACCCGGGTATACTGTAGTCAGAGTGATTTGTTTTATAGTCAGTGAGAGGAAAATTGTAAGATGAAGACAAGATAGCTGCTACTCACAACGGACAACAAGCCACACTAACACAAAGAGTGGGAGAGGGTAGGAATTAAACATCAAGGAAACGCTAATGTTTATTCACTCTGTGTTGATCGGATTTACTGGTATAAATAGCTAGAGTCTCAGGAAATTTCAGTAATTTTGTATTTGTTATGCTTTAGATGACGGGAAATGCATGGGTTTGAAGTGACACAATGTTTTTGTTCAAATAAGTGATGCGCCATTGAAGACCTAAGTGTTTTGTGCGCATTCTATGATGTAACGATTTCAAACTTGTCATCTGTTGCTCTCCTAAGCCACAACCGGGATGTGTTCAGCCATTCGGTGACATTCATTTTGTTAGTGTTTCGTGCTATTCGTTGTTATTGGCGATCATATACTTATCTCACGGTAATCATCTCACTGACTGCAAAAAATAACTTTGACTGCAGTATGCACAGTGACAGATGCAGCGAAATGATCACGGGTACATGGTGCAAACCCATGTTTCTGACTTCTCTGTTCAAATTGATGACGGGAAAACGGTGTTTTAGAAAAGAAAGCACTGAACAACTGCTTCGTCCCTGTCGGGAAGTCAACAGCTGTGTATGCTATTTTCAGCTATCCATACGGAACTCTAGCCACACTCAAACACACACAAATCGGGGGTCACGCCACGACCCTATTGACGATCACATGATCCAGTGAACATTGATGTCGTTCGATATAGATGAAGGCATTTTCAAAGTAAAACTTCAGATTAACTAAACTTCGTAATGTTAATCACTAGAGAAAAAGATATAAAATCATTTTTGTTTCGTGTTAAGCGGAGCGTTTCATTTATTTTTTCCACTATATTTGAAGCGGGCTAAAAGTCTCCTTCAGAACCATTCTAGGGTATAATACGCATGACTAATCATCAAACTAGACTGTCAAAAATTTATTTACCGTTGTCGCTGCTACAATTTGTGTATAATATTTTCGTTGTCATGCTACAACAGAATAGAGAATCTCTTCTGAAAGAACCATCATCATCGTCATCATCATCATCATCTCAAATGAGTCGAACGTTTCTTTGAAAATTGTTCAGATTCACACAAAAATGAGGCTATTTGAACTCCATACACTTCACATTTATTGGAGCCAGAACATTCTATAGACACAGAGCAACTCGGTATTCCACGGAAGCCTAATCTAGTTTGTTCTGAGCACTGTGGATTCCCGATTAGACACTGACTACTTCCTCCCTCTGTCTCTCTCTCTCTCTCTCGATTACTTTCTTCTTCTTCTTCAAATAACTGTAATCGCAATGATTTATGGGTGAAATTGCCAAAATTAACAAGTGTTCACCTACAAAGCCCGCTCTAATTGCACAAATGAATCCTTCAATTAGTTGATATAAAGCCTATGTAATGCAGTTAGAAACGATTCCCACCGGTACATATTTCAAGGATATTACAACAACAAAATGGTGAAGAAAAATCCAAGGAAAATGATCCGAATTCACTCACCTCGGGTGGAATTTTCGCTGGTCCAGCTCCAAAGGTGATCACCGGTTCTCCTGACATGTTGTTCACTGCGACTGATTGTACGATTCACGTCTCAGTCGGTTTTGTTCGCTTGGCGAGGACCGGATGGCCTTGAGTTTACGTGAGTTCAGACAGATAAGCCGTGATGACCTTCTCTGATCCGCATTTCACGGAGCATTACAGTCCGTGATAAATATGCGCGTCAACTGTGCAGTTCGTGTTCAAACTGGATTCAATAAGGAGATCAATTTCAAAGTCGTAATTCGTCAGAAATTAACTGTCAGTACATCTATAGCTCCAGCCTGGTGACTCTCCGTGAAAAATTTCCACTTAGGACTAGCACACACTTCTTACTTCATGTCGCACGGTTACGTAATAGTTTTACGGTCACCACAACACACTATTTGTGTGAATTTCAGTTGATTATGTTTGTTAATTAATCAGTAACAAAAAAATATGTATGGCTTACCAGGTGAGTTTAAGGGGATGGTCGATTTTCAGTAATATTGGTGTTTTCCGTTACGTACAATCCAGGTACAGTTCAAGTAGCCACCTAATTGTTGGATTTTCAATCAATATTCCCACATTTCATCTGGTCGTTGCTATTGATTCGTTTTACAGTAACACGTTCCACAGCCGATTTGTATCTTGAACGGCAGAGCGTTTTGGGGTCAAACCATTTTAGAGAAGGCTTTATGAGCCACTATAAGGGATTTTTATCACATTCAATAGAGTATAGAATATTTGAGGAACCAAGGAACATTCTAGATGTAAAACCAAAACCGGATAGCATAAAAAGCCTCTGATGCTTGTCCAATTGAAATGAGCTCAGTCAAAGCCCAACATTCAATAATGTGGGAAAAAGTATGCGGTGAACGGAACGGTATTAAAAGACACAAATAAATTACATATTTTGCGTGCTAGGTATGTGACAGCGTCACGGATCACATTCTCCAAGAACACCTTCAACACACCACGAGTCTCCTCGTAGATCAATCCGGAGATG